CACCCCCCGACCGCCAAATTGCGATTTCAACATTTTTGAAGGCTTCAACAACGGTACAATTGTGACGTTCCCCCAGAGTCGGCGCCATCCCACTTCCTGACATCTGAACCCGGTCCGCTTCGGTACTCGTACTCCTCTTTCATTTCTGAAAACCATGCGTGAATGGGGATGGGCGGACAAACAGAAAAGCAAACATTTCGGCTCACGTTTTGATCGGAATCTTGGAATTGTTGGCTATTTTGGTTCTCCCGCCTTTGCTTTTCTTTGCCAACTGCTCGCCGTCCCCGATTTGGTCTTCGTCGGCCTCGTTTCGCCTCGGTCCGGGTTTGTTCACAAAAGAACTTTGGCAAGAGCTCTTCCCGGACACGCGCTGAGCTGGGAGCGGGCCGTCCTCCCGTCAACCCATCACAGCGTCTTGGCTTCTTCTTTGCCACTCCTTTTTTTTTTTCGCTTTTGTCTAGCAATCATCTCCAGGCGATCGCAGGCTTGCTATTTTCCATCTTTGGTGACGGTCAATCAATCTCCTTTGCCGGCCCGATCACAGACAATGTCAAGCGATGGCGGAGAAAAAGCCAAAGAGGCAAACCCCCCTGCGGACCACATCATCGACGATCCGTCGATCACAAATCAGCCGTTGGTCGGCGGGCCCGGCCCGGGCTCGGTCGCTTGGAACGAGCGAGACCGTTGGCGGTCAATCGGTCGATCCCCCGCGAGCCGCTTGATGGACGGCGACATCGCTCGTTTGTTCGGGTGGACCGGCGGTGGAAATCATGCAAATGGCTGGTGAGGAAAAGCGGATCAGAGAATGGATGCGCGCGCTCTCGTGAACAGCTGGCGTGCCAACGTCTCACGTGACGTCGATGATGGCGCTCCACTTTTTTTTTTTAGCTGTCACAAGAAAAGCATCAGCCAAAATATGCACCGTTAATCCTCGTCTGTTTCTTTGAACTATTTTTACAGTCGCAAACGCCAGGATGTGCTCGGCGGGGATTAGGAGGCAACTTTGCTGACGGGAGCGGACTCAAAATGCACAGCGGGCCTCAGCAAAAAAGAAAAAAGCAAAGAAAAGATTGACGGATGCCGATTGGCCGAGACGTGGCGGCGGCGTCCGGGGCCGATGCTTTGTGACGTGCCGGCGTCTCCTTTGGCCGACGGCCGAGGAAGCCGGGCGGGCCTTCATCTGCATGGCAAATTTTTCTGCTTCCACCTGCTAAAAATGCACACGAGCACAAAGCCGGCGCGCCGCCTGACACGCTTCATTCACATCACGCTTTGCTTTTTCTTGTTTCCAGGCCATGGCGCTCAGCGACCTGAAAAAGCTTTCCAAATGGCTCAACGTCACACACGACAAACTTGCCCGATCGATAAACAATCAAACAGCTCATGTGTGTGTGTGTGAGTTGTGAACGTGTTCCAGAAGGCCTGTGGGAGAGGCTTTCAATGGGAGATGTCAGCAGAAGTTCGTTGGCTCAATAGTGAGAGAGCATTTTTGCGGTGTGCGATTTTTAGATCTGTGAGCAAAAAACACTTTTGTCGTGTGTTTGCCAGTGTTGGGGGGGTTTACCCAAAAGTCGTCATCCGTCGTTCCCCCCCCCTTGCACTTTGAATGAAATTCCTCTCTGGCATTCACCACCAGATGGCTGAGTGGCGCTCGCCCGATACGGCACCAGGAGGCCGAGCGAGCGCGGCCGCAGTTTTCCCTCAATTGAAAAAGCAATTTTTCAAGACCATTTGTGTTTGCTGACGTTTTTTTTCGGCACCGCTGGCGAGCCTGGCGCACATCATGGGCAAATTGGGCTCCTCCCACGGCTGCGGTTGTCAATGTGGATGGAAAGCGTCAGCGTGGGGCGGCCGGAAGAGGAGATTCCCCGTAGCGAGGCGGCTCCGCAGCACGCGGCTGCGGCCTTTGACTGACCGGTTGGGAGGGACCCGGGGCCGGGGGCCGGGATGCGGATGACAGATTCCCGGCGGGTGGTGAGCTCTCTCGCTCTCTCGCTCTCTCTTGATGTGGAAACGGCGCCCGGGTGAGAAGCGGGAGGCCAATTAAAATCTTCAGGCTCGACACTCGTTCTGAAGAGGGGAGGGACGATTCCGTTTCCATTTGAGGCTACCGATCGCTTTGAGAGGGTTTCTCATTGTCATTTTATAATATGAAGCACTGAAGATTCCTTCCAATAGACGACTTGTAGCGTCAATTGGACACTGTGCAGCGATGGCTGTTTGAAAGCGCTCAATAAATACATTTGAGATGAGGTATGGATAGACAGAGCCGGCAAGTGGCGTCTTGAAATCGCTCCATTGATGAATCGGACTTTTCCACTTGTAGCTTCCGCAGAGCTTGGAAGCGAGATTTGACCCGGGTCAAATCTCGCTTTCAAAACAGAAGAGAAAGGTCAAACGCAGCCACGCTCAGGCCCGATCGTCCTCCGGTGGTGGGGTCGGCGACATGCTAAGGCGCTAATGCGGCTGCCAAACTCTGGCACGTCTTCTCCATTACAGGGAAAAAGAGCCCATTTGAAGGCACGTGTCCAAACGGGAAACGAGCCCAATCAGCCGCAAAAACAACAGGCGTGAAATTCTATAACGCCAACCGTGACTGCGAATAGCGCTTTCCAAATGCGCTCGCAGACGCTTAATGGGAGCGGAATTGAGAGAGGCGGCCATTTGGTGACGCTTCCATTTGGGCCCGGGGAGGCGGGCGCATGAAGTCGCCCGCTTTCCGGGGAAGCCATTTGGACCGTTTCCGAGGTGGGAGCGAGCGTTCTTACAGCGGATCCAATGCGCCGTTTCAAATAGGGCGCAAAGATGTTTTTTTTTTCATCATCCAAACAACCCCTTTGTCCTCTTCTTAGGGGGCTCTTGGGTGGCAGAGGGGGGTGGCTTGTCGTCACCCACCTTACCGCATTCACTGGAGATGGCCCCAAATGAAAACAAAAACATTTCAATCGCCTATTTTTAGACGGGCAAGATAAAGAGCAGATCTACATCGTGGCTGTTTCGTTCATCGCCCTCATCTGTTTTCGCGCTCTCGCATCTGCTCTGGACCGCGCCCATCGACTCCCGTTCAGTTTGACACGCACAGCGGCTCCTCTTCAAGGACCGCTGGCCGAGCGCCCGTTGCAACATCCCGCGGGTTAACGGGCTAACTGGGCACAGGTGGGTGCCGCACGGCGCCGGGCACGCCGCTGACACTCAGTCACAGGCCGTCCCGTTGGAACGATGGAGCACGTTACCGACCGTTTTAGCCGCTTGTCTTAGCCTTTCAAATGCCCTAACTTCTTTCATTCTTAACACGGTGACAACACTTCTCCAACCCTCTGTTGTTGCTTGACTCCAGTGACATTGGTCTTGCTGTGAAAAAAAAAAAAAGTTGAATTATTTTCTTGTAAGAGGGAAGAATCAGATGCCAACAAAATTAGCCTCTGCTACCAGGTTAGCAATCACGATTAGCATTAGGGCGCTTGCGATGACCACTTTAGGTCAACAAAAGCCAACGATCATTCAGCTCTCAAACACATCATGTCGTGTGCATTACACGTGTGTGTAAATGACTTCTTGATGGTACTTCAACAACATGAGAAAACTTCCAGTTCCTTCTACCCTCTCGACGTTTAGCTCTTTGTTGCCCCCAACTGGGTAAAATGGAGTAGGGCAGCAGAATGTTTGCGGCTTTTTTGCACCCCCCCGCGACCCGGCGATGCATTTCCAATGGCTCGCCGATGTGTTGGCAGTGCGCGTGTGTATCCGGGTCATGACGTCCCGCTTTGACGTCAGCGCGTGAATGCTCCGACTCGTTTGCTAATTGGGCCGAATGCTCCCGACTGCGCGCCAGATGAGCCGCGGTGGGTGGGCGACATTCGCGCGGTGCGGCGCGGCGCGGCGGCTCCCCCGTCATCTCTTTGGACCTCACTGGCAGGTCGGAGTTCGCTTCGTTAGCTGCAAATGAGTCCATTCGTGACGGATGGCCGCGTCTTTTATGAGGGAAGCTCACCGCTACCTCTTGCTTTTTACACTCAAAGGTACCGTCTACGATTTCAAAATCTCGAGAAACGAGTCAGAATGGGTCAACGCATGACTTGATATGATTATTACCACGACGAAAATAGTTGTTTTTAATTAGCGAGACAAAGTTACAGTGATGATCTTTATTTTTCTTTTTTTACTCGAATAGAACATGACCATGTTTTAAATCAGCATCGTTTTTTGGAGCTCAAGTCAGAATATTCGATCAAAAGTTCTTAAGTCACAGGAGAGGAAAAATAGAACGTTACAGCAATAAGATGTTTGACCGCAATAAAAATACATCCCAATTTTAGTCAATGTTTACATGAAAAGTGAAAGTTGTAGAATGGCACGTGTTAGCGACTAGAGTTGCGACTAACGTCTCAAGACGAAAACCACGTGAATGACACGAGAAGAAGAGTTTTCTTCAAAAGGACAAAACGTGAGCCAATGAACGTGCTCCTTCGTTTCCCCGATGGCCGAAGGGCGCACAATTGGCCTCCCCTCTCCTGCAATGGGGCGGAACGAACACAAGAGGGAGCTGTGCCTTCACTCATTCATCGCGGATGCTTTTCATTCGAGTCGCGCGCGAGTCACTCAAGGGGCAACAGCGCGTCTCTTTCAGAGCTTTTTTATTTTCAATGTACATTTCATTTGAAAAATAGAATTTCTAAAGTAGTCACTCTAAAAAGCCCTCCGTCCAACCCCCCCAAAAAAGTGAATGATGAAAAGCCCCCCACCCTCCAAAAAAAAGTTGTTGTTTTTTTTTTTTAGATGCATTGATTCTTAGTGATTTTATTCTGGCTGAAAAAGCAAAAGCAACAAAAACAGGAGGACTAGAAATCCTAATCACATGGTTACTTTGGCTGACGGGCTAACATGCTGCTGAATAGGCCACTCGGCTACTCGGGTCGCCTAAATGACAGGATACACCAAAGCTCCTTCGTGGAATTGCCAGTGCCTTTAAACGGCATTCGAGGGGAGTTGTGCTATTGAAAGCTAGCTCGAGAAGCGCTTCCCATCATCACCCTGAAGATGTCAAAGTCTCGCCTGGATTACAAGGCACGGGGCACCTTTCTTTCCGCTGACCAAAGATGCTTCAAATCACTTCGCGTGCTTCTTAACCTGATATCTGGGGTGTCTTAGGACTCCAATTTTGCGTTAGAGACTTTGAGTGTCTCCCCCCTCGCCGGAAACGTCAGATCTGTCGCTTGAGCGTTGCCTGGGTGACGGGGGCACTGGACCGCGTTTCTTGAGACAGTCTTCAAGAATTTGCTTTGATTTTTGGGGACTTTTTACGATTAAAAATGTTGGCATCACCCTGGAGATGTCCGATCCCAAATTGCTTCCAGAGATTTTCTTATCTTTCCGAACAGGATATTTGAGTTGTTTTGTGACTCAAAGTTAGCCGAAGCATCGGTCGGCCTCACGCTTGAGCTGCCAAATCTGCATCTTTCTTGATGTATTATCAGGATTTTTTTTTTGGGGGGGGGGGTTGATTTTGGAATTTGATTTCCAGAGTTCATGCTAAGCTAACTAGCGCAACTTTTCTTCAAATTTATTTTCAGAGCTGGGGGGCGGGGGGGGTTCTTAATAGAAAGAAAAAAACTATATGTATTTAATAGTCTTGATTTCAAGAGTACTTGAAAAACAAACAAAAATCACAGAAATGGAGAAAGCGACTATTTCGGGGTGAAAAACATCATTTGTGATTTGTCCTTGACTTTGGATTCCGGTACGAGTGATGGACCTCGTCAGCCGCTTGAAAGGCAACGCAGCGCATTTGCCAACACGATATTGCTCCCAGTTGAGGAAAACGCCACATGCGTCCTCAATGCGCACAACAACAAATGATTACAAAATGAAGCACTAAAATAAATGTTTTCAATTGAATCTAGTACGAAAAACACAAATCAGAAAGGGTGTCCGGTTCATTGTTAATTCAGCATTAATAACTATTCAATCACATGAGCACACCTTTTCCGTCTAGAATCCCCCACAATCACTCGACACTTGTTCATCGGAAACAAGAGGTCGACTCTAAAAATGAACTTTTCCTGCGACGGGAAAAGGTCGTCATAATATCGCACCGATTTTTTTTTCCTTTTTACATATTTGAGGATCGAAAAGTAGAGACGGATGATCGAAAAGGAAAAGCAAGCAAGGGAGGGAAAAGCACAGAGCCGCGGTCGCGTCCAACAAGTCGTCGTCGCGTTAGCTTGCTCGCTGTGTTTTGGCGGCGGCGGCGGCGATGGCGGTTGTCGGCCGCGGGCGTCGCCCCCGCCGGGAGTGGCGGCTCGGCGGACCTACAGAGATGTCTCGGATCCTCGACCGGGCCAGAAGAAAGGGTGGCCGTCGTCCGGGTCCATGTCTATTCTAATCTGAGGCGGCGGCTTCAGCGGACTCGTCTCGGGGCTGAAACACAACGACGGCGGCCGGTCAAGCAAAAAAAAATTATCCTTGCCGTCCCACGTGCCAGTCCAAAGGCCGCATTTTGAATCGGATGCGGAATTTGAATTACGGCCGTCCGTTTCCATCAATCGCAACTCTGCCCAAGTGGACGCCGTCGAGCCTTTCAAAAGGATTGGCGAGTTACGACATTGGACCCTCTCGTGCGATATTGTCTTGTCGCCGATCCGTTGGCTCGTTCCCATCGCTAAACGAGCAGCAACAACAACAATTGGTTCCTCAGCACGAAGCGGGAAAAAAAAACCCCAAAAGGGTTAGCGAAAGCGTCCCCGTCGATGCGTCTCGATCGAAGCTGCCAAAAAGGTTTGCCACTGCGTGCGCGGAAGTGACGGCGTCAGTTGAAGCCAGAATACGCTCCCCTCCGGTG